GCCATGATGATTGGATTCTCGAAGTAATAACTAGATTGCTATTTTCGAGAAGTTGGCGTGTTTTATTCGCTCTACCTTTTTTTTTCGAACTACTATCTTTTTTTTTTGCCCTGCTCCTCCTTTTTTCTACTTTTCTGGCTTCCCCGTCTCTTATAATATTAAGTTTAATTATTTATTTTTTCCTGCGATACATATCGAAATTAATTCTTTGATTAATTTACACATTTTAATTTTTAAATATTGAAGGAATGAAAGTAATGCTCAACCTAATCGTGTTTTATATTTGTACGCAGATCTATTAAAATGCATTTAAAATTTCACTGGGAATTACTTTTTAACTCATCGAGAAATTTTTTATTAAAGAAAAGAAATCAAAAAATTAGTTTTTCAGCCATATTATATTAACATGAACCATAATAATTTTTGATGATAATTTTGTATCAAATCAAATTTTCTTCTTTAAAGTTTTAAAATTCAAACAAAAAATGGATGATCAAAGTTACTTTTAGAGTTAATTTCAGCATTCATTCTTACTGATATTTGAAACATCAATATTCCACTGTTTTTGTAAGATTATAAATTTTAGCTTTGAATGTTTGGTCATAATTTCACACAAAAATCAAAATATGGCATGTGAATCATAAAATATTTATAATATTTAATAAAAAGATTGAGAGAAAAATTGCTTTCATAAGATTTTCTGAAAATATATATTGAAAAATAAAATACTTCATTTCTGCTTTTTTTCTGAATTTTTCGATTATGATGGAATGAAGTAAGAGAGAAAAAGTGAGAGGGAAAAGGGAGAGAAAATAGTTTTTTTTTTTCTTTTTTTTTGTACGTGATCAGTTTAATTATTATCTCAAGAAACTACTATCATGCGAATTAACTAACCAACTATTTCAGTGACCTAAACAAATATTTTAGATCGCAGTTTAGGAAAATTTCATCGCTATTGAAGTGTTAGACTAAAATATCAAAAATCAGACGAAAAAAAATTTCTTTTCTTCTTTTTTTTTTTAAAAAAAAAGGAAAAGAAGTTACTGGATGAGATGAGATAAAAAGGGCAAAGAGGGGAAACTTTTAATCTTGATCTAAGCCACTAGTTGTTTCTTTAATGCTGCAATAACTAACTCATGCAATCGTCCTTTCTTGTGACTTTTTCAATTTAGAAATTTTTGAATGTTAATACTTTTGCACTTTGCTCATTAATGTGTTCATCTTATCATACAAATATCATATCAACTGTTATATTCTGTATTGTCACCATTTTTATATAAATGGTACCGAATATTAACGGTACCATTTATATAAAAAAAAAAAAGGTACCATTTATTTCTGACGATAATTCTATTTTAGCAATTTGATTATTTAATTAATTCGTGTGATTTTGATAGAGTCAGTGATTCAACTTGGTGACACAAATGATAATCCTTCTCTTCACTTTTCAATGGTTATATAAGTTGACACCAATATTCTTTTGTCTTTTTACAATTGCTGTTGATGCAGCTACCGATTTATCATGCAGCTAATTAGATGCTCAATTAAAAAGCTTCTTTACGAATCCAAACCAAATTCAATTACTTATAAATAGGTCCTATCACCATTTATCGCTATCAGTGCATGGATGCAAGCAGTGCATGCACTATTTGCAGTCACAGTTTTCTTATCCTTCACAATATCGATTTCTATTTCAACTATAGGGCTCATTTCTTTTGCTGATTTCAGTAGTCTGAAAAATGATCAAATATTTGTGACAATTATTCCTTTAATACGTTCATATATGTCGATCTTAGCAAAGCTCTATTACCCTTTGCCTTCTAATATTGACACTATTGCATATTTTTTAATTCCAAATTCACTTTGCTTGCTAATGATTGAATTTTTCACTGTATTCGAAGTCATTTGTAATAAGTGGATAAATAATTTTATCTTTGTCCTTAACTGTTTCATAATCTCTTCTACTCTATGATATATATCTTTTAATAATATCATTGTGAATTTTTTAAAAGCCTCATTAATTATTACTCAAAAGATTTAGTTCTGCTCGCATTATGCTATATTTGCTTGCCTCTTCTTTATTCTTTTTTCCATCGCTTCAAATATTTTGTTTTTTTATTGCTTTTTAGAACTTTAATTACAATCTTTTCGCGGTTTATTATTTTCGAATATTTCCCTAATTTTTTTTTTTTTTTATATTTACCATTATTTCAATCTTTTGCAAATCCTCAAAGAATAAAATTTCAGAAAAAAATTTAACTACAAGAAAAAAAGGAAAATCCAGTAATTTCCTTTTCTTTCTCTTATCTTATTTAATTACATAATTAAATAATCATTTATCAACTAATTCTTATCAATCGGCTTGAATTGTCCTTTTAAATTAATTCACCATATTTTTTCTTAATGTATTTATTTCAATGCTACATTTGATTACTGTTTCCAACAATTATTTTTAATGTTATACAATTTAAATCCATTCTAATATGCAATCTTTCCTATGCATCAATTAAATTTCAACTATTATTATCAATTTTTTAGTTTTATATCAGCCAGTTAAATTTGTTTCATTATTACCATATTATTTAAATCATTTTACTTCTCTCATTTATTGCCTCCAATTACTTCTTCCGCATTCTTAGTAATTAGTTTTGGAAATATTTAAAAGAAAGAATTTGTCTTGAAGTAGTATTATTTTATAGTTACATTAACTACTATTTATAGCATAAGCAAGACATTTATTAATAATATATTTAAACAAAGTTTTAAAATTATATTGCATAACTTTTCTAGGTGATAAAATGAGAGTAAAAATTGAAAATTTCTGCACAAGAGGAATTTTTTTTAAATTATGTTAGAATGATTGAAAGGTTTCAGGAATTAGTAAATGAAATAAATATTTGATCTTATCATAAAATGAGTTTTATTATGTGCTATTGCGTTCACTCCATAGATGTGATAATTAGATTCAGGAATTTATTCGGATATTCTGCGTCATATCACTTTAAAATTTTTAACTCAGAAAAAAAAAAGAAAGGAGAAACAGTACAATTTTCTCATTGATTTTTACTCTTTGCCACTGCTAAAATTTTTTTCTTTTTTTATAAAAAAAAAATAGAAAATTTTCTTGAATTAAATTACTTAACATTTTTCTAAAACATACATATATTTTATTTTATTTTTCAATGGCACTTTGTCATGTCAGCTTTTGTACTATTTTAAATACATTTTAAAAATATATTTTTACAAATAGCATTATAAATACAAAATAAATTTTATTTGATTGTTTTCCATAATTTTTTTTTGCTTTTTCCTTTGATTAAATAGGTTACTATTTATCAAAATTCACTTTTCATTCTATTCATTAATGATTGTTTGAAATAAATGCACTTAGTCCTATAATAACGAAATAGAATTTTGGAAGCAATATGATGTAAAAGCAAGCATTCTACTTTTTTTTTTTATTCAAGTTGACAGATTTTTTAAGTGAAAGAATAAACGGTAATGATATGAATATTAGCTATTAGCAAAATATTAGAAACAGTAAGACATGTTATAGTGACAATTTAGTGATATTTAAACTACTGTACTTTAGGAAAATATTTGCTAAAAATTGTGATTCTTTCAAATAATTTAAATAAATTCCAGTTAACCAAACAAATTTCAATTTCTGTCATTTCGATGTATCGAAATTCTTAATTTGAATTTGGAAACAATACAAAAATAATAAATGCATATAAAGGAAAAAAATGACGCCAACAATTTTGGATATTTGAAGATGAAACTTAGATTAGAAAATATTTCATTTATTAAGTAAACAAATCTACACGCATTAATTTTTTTTTTTCACCGTATAATGTAAATAAAAACTCATATTAGTTATTTAATTATATTTCAAAATGATGATAATAGATAAAATAGTATTTTGTAAATTAGATGAGAAAACTATTTTCGTTTCTTAAATTAGTCATTTTTAATAATAAAATTATTTTTCATGAATTTTGATTACAATTTTTTAGTCACGAACGTGTTATTTTCTTTTCCATTTCACATTTCTTTGTTTAAAAAAATTCAATAAAATTAATTCGCCAAATAATTATGTTGGCACGATATTTTTTCGTTTTATTTTTATTGAACTATGATAAATAAATAAATGAATATATATATTTAAAAAAAGAAGAATGTAGTCTTTCACCCCTTTTTTTTTTTAAGTTTGTTTCCGCATTCTCTTCACTAGAGTAACAAATTTATCTAGAGTAATAATAAATATCCATTTAAAATAATAAACAAGGAAAAGTTTTTTTTTCCGATATAATATATTTTTATTTTGTGAAATAAAAATGAAATATTTAAGAGTGTAAGAGAAGATACCTATAAATATATAAATACTTTTTTTTTCTTAAAAATTACATTAAATAAAATATAAAAATATAATATTGTATTTTATAATCAATAAATTTTCAATACAATTTATCACTTCAAAGCTCTTTTCATATCTTCGTTCTGTTCTTTCCTTATCACATCCGATATATGATTAATACATTCCAATATTTTTTAATCATTGGTTGGAAATTTATATGTAATGACAGTCTTGCTTTCTGAATAAAGAGAGAAAGAAACAAAGAAAAAAAAAAAGGAGTGAGAGAGGATATGCTATAAATTACAACAAAGTTAAATAATAATTATATGCTAAGAAATGTAATACAAATATTCACTTCCACATATTCTTAATAATAAATGCTATTTAAATATTTGTGCATTACAATTTTTATAACATAAAAATGCAGAAAAAAAAATTCTCTGTTAGTTAAATTTTTCAGAAAAAAAAAATGATAAAATAGTAGTAAAATTAAAAGTTCATAATTTTTTCCATTTTGATTTGTTGAAAACTGAGCATTTTAAATTATTTCATTTTATTTCCGTATCAAAATAATCTAATTATTATATTAGGTTCTAATAATTTCACTTATAAACAAAATCAAAAATTACACATCATTGTTTAAATGGAGAACACAACATTGTCAAATGATGAACCGGAATGTGAAGAACATCCACCGCTTTTCCTAGTTTGTTGCTTCATTTCATTACTAATAATAATTGTTCAATTGAAATGAAAAAAAAAAAAAAAAACACTGTAAGTAATTCAAATAATAAATTTTGATTTTTGCAAATTAAACAAAGAAATGATGCAATTTTTATTGCACATTAATATTAATGCAATTAAATAATTTTTTGTTTAAGAGTTTTAAAATGATACTGGTAGGCGTTATTGGTACAATAATAGCAATAATTGGTTTTCTTGAGAATGTTTTGGTATTTTATACATTTATAAGCTCAAAAGCATTACGAAATAAGAATTTATTATATCTTACATGTCTCAGTGCTTGTGATATATTTATTTGTTTTTCATATATCGAAATTATGTCAATACAGGTAATTCCTTTTTTTTTTTTCGTTTACGTAGAAAAAAAAAAAGAAGAAATCACCTAAATTATTAAGAGAAGAATAAAAAAAAAATAATAAATTGTGAAGAGATACTTCTTTTCTTTTTTCGGTTCTATTAATTTTACTATAAAAGGAAAAAAACAAAAAAATTTGCAAAAGAAATAAGGTAATTGTCTATTTTTTCCTCCTTTCTTTACACTTAATTTATTATGCTATTGAAATTTAAATCTTGAATTAATTAATATTTAAGTCAGAAAAGAAAAGAAAAGGAAAACTAAATTAAATTTTAATTTAGATATATGCAGAGTATTTCCATTATTTCCCACTATTTCGTCTTTGGCATAATTATTTAAGGGTGGCATTTGCTATTTCTCATATTGCAATATGCACTGTATCATTTCTTATTATGGCTGCTGCATTTGAACGATACCTACAAAATGGCACTAGCAGAAGTTAAGTATGAAAAAAAAAAGGAAAATTTGTTTTAGTAAAAAAAAAAAAAGGCATAAAAATCAATTAAAAAAAAATATAGCCTAAAAATTAAAAAAGAATTCTTTTATTTTTTATTTTTTAGGACAATAATGATATTCCGATTTTTCTGTCATCATCGTGGAAAAATTATCATTATGTCATTTCTTTTTGGTGTTTTATTTCGTGGTACCATTTATTTCGAAATACAGGCAAGTTATTAAACTATATTTATGGAAAGATTTTTGTTAAATATATTTTTAAATTATTTTTATAATTGCACTTCTAATTTCTAGTAAATTATTCTTATAATATCAATAATTGTTTTATGAAAAATGATCATTTTATGTAACATACTAAAAAATGATTTCATATATTTTACTATCATATCATACCTTTTTATATCAATGAAACATATCATATCATATATATTTGCATCTAAAGAATTAAATTTATGAATAGTTTCATCCCTTCTAAAAAAAAGGAAAAAAATTTTTAATTACTATTTATATGTATAATATGCCTTATTAAATTATTATTTTCTTTTTTTCAATGATATATAATTTCCAATTGAAAAAATTTTCGCACAATAATGGAACTCAGATTTATCATTTGGAAGAATGCGAAGGATTTGCAAGTATGGGTGTAAAAATTAGTGAACTTGCGCGTAATGTTTATTATGATGGAATATGGCGCTTTTGGACTAGACGTATTGCTACCGTATTTCTGCCATTTTTTGTTTTATTATATTGCAATGCAGCTATTGTAGTTAATTTACGAAAGAATAATCGTGAAAATACAATTAAAATGCTTATATTATATTGCATATTTGGGATTTCGTAAGTTTACTTATTTAGTTATCTTTTTTTTTTGACCAATCAGTTAAGTATTACTTAGTAACCAATCAAAATTTATTAAAAATATTTTTATACTTGAAATATTTAAAGTATTATAAATATTTTATAATGTTAAGTATCGCAAAAATTATTCGTTATCCATACATTGCTTAAATTATATTGAATCCATATTATTCAATTTTAATAGAAATAATTTCATAATTAAAAAATGCATTACATTTCCTTATTAGTTTTTTTTTTTTTTTTTTTCTGCTTGGAATAAATTTTTAAAATGGATTAAGTTCCATATAAAAATGTAATGATGATTAGATGCAAACAAAATTATTCGGATTTTTGCTAATGCTTATTCAACACATATGAATGCATATATTTCATGAAATAAATGAAATGTATTAAATAAATTACACATATTTTAAAGTAAATCGAATTAAAAAAAAGAGCTGAGAAATAAATACTTCAATTTGTGCTTTATTCAAAACAACAAAAAAAAAAAATCAATTTTCTTTCTGTAATGTAAATTGTTCCTATTTTTAATTTCAAAAATTTCTGAAAAATATTTGCAAAGCAAGTTTTATTTTACTTTTTTATTATTATTTTATTTTTATAGCTGAACGAAATAATTTGTTACTAAATGCCTTACTAACAATACTATAGAAGTGACAAATGAGAGACAAATAAAACTATTTTAAATCTTTTTCTTCTTCCTTCAAAATCTAAATTCAGAATTCATCCAGTAATTGGGAAAATAAAATCCACAAATTTTTCCAACTAATAGTTCATCATCTCTCGTTTCTTATGCCAGATAATTGCATTCTTTCATATGCTAATCAACAGCCTTTGACTTTCGTTATAACTTGGAACACAAATTTTTTAGATTAAATTTTGATTCGTTTATTGATTAAAACAGGTTGCAAACATAAACAATTTCAACCATCATACAGCAAAATTTACTATTATTATTTTCTTTTTTTGTTTTGTTTTTCAAATGGGAAAACTAACAATTTATTTGCTTATATGCTTAGATATTTTAGCACTAATATATTTTTTTCAGCATAATGAAACTCATATTTGCTTTAAAAAAATTTTTTTTTTTTTTTTTGTGCTATGTGTTTGAAGAAAAGAGTATGAAATTGAAATTAAAAAAAAGCAGTAATAAATTTCAAAAAATGGTAATTTCTGGCAAAAATTTTTCTTTTTATTATCCTTTTTTTTTAATTTAAAACGTTTTTTATTCAAATACATAATATTAAATATGATTAAATGAAATAATCTAAAAAAATTATATTCCAAAATTAAAATTATTTTTGCCGAAAAAAAAATATTGATAAAATTTAAAATTAATACGAAAAAAGATAGACAAATTTAAAAGAAAAAGGAATGTTATTATACAATGATGAATAAATTTAAGGGTAGCATCATGTAAACTTCGTAATCGTGTCAAAACAGCCACCAGATCACTGATAATGGTTGTCACCTGTTATCTGTGCTCAAATATTATTGATGTTTTCATTGCTGCATGGGAATATTTGGATGATGCATCATTGTTACAATTGGAGGAATTTTATTCGATTGCAACCGATGTTTCTTCATTACTTACCATATTAGCTGCTAGTTTACGATTTCCTATTTATTTAATTAATGATAAAATTATTTTAAGAGAGGTGAATTAATTTTTCATTTTTTATAATAATAGTTTTTTTTATTTATTTTAGAATTAATTTTTTTTTTGCAAAAATACTTTCATATAATGACATTAATGTTTCCTTGTTTTTTCTTCTTTCATTTATAATTTGAATTTTAAATATGTTTAAATATGACAATTGCTAGGAATTTTATTTGCTAAAATAAGTTACAAAAATTTTTAATTAGATATCTGTAGGTTCGTTTTACTCTATGCTTCTTCTATTATCATTTGGTGGTCTGTTTCTCAGTACTATCAAAACGAACCAAACAGAGGAAGCATCATTTAAAGGATGAATTGAAACAGCAACTGAATAGTCAAAGTAAAACTATCACGCACAATTCGACGGAAAATATTACGTTACGTAAAACACGAAATAGTTTGGGTTAGATTTTAATTAAATTTCATAACATTGTGATTAAGTTATTAAGTATTTTTGATATTATGAATGGAAGAAATAAAAAGGAAAAAAATTTGATGGAAGATTTGATCCATTACACCTTTCTTTTTTTTTGGTCCAAAAATTGATGTATTTTCATTAATTTAAAAATTACTATTTAGACAATTTTGCACCTAAAATGAAACATTTCAGGAGCAGTCTTTATATCGGTAACAGGTATTGGGTTAGGTAGACAACATTCTCAACATTCAGTTTTTGCATTGGAGAGGATCCCTTCACAAATTTCAGTCCGAATTCCATTAGCTGTTAAAGAAGAAGAATCATCTTCAGAAATAATCGATAAACATGAAACACTATTATTGCTGTCTTCTAATCCGCTATTCAATGAAACTGAAAATGATTCCGTTTCCATATCGGAATGATGCTATCAGTATCAGAAAGATGATTATATCACTATTGCTCATTTAAATTAATCATATCATACTTGTGTTGATTTGTCCGTATAAAGAATAAGCAGACCATTTGAGAAAATACATCGAAATTTTCACATTATTCCAGTATTCCAATAAGTAAAGAGATAAAAAAAAAAGTTCTATATTTATGGATAGAATCACGTTGAAAAATTCTATGTTTACTTTAAACCATCAAATTTATCATATTTTGAAATCAGTTTTGTCCATTTCCACTTCATCAATAATTCAAATTTTAATCATCCACTAATCAATCTAAAAGTATTCGGAGTGCAGAAAGCATAATTTTGATCGAATAACAAGAAAACAACCAGGGTTTTGAAATCGACAGAAGTTGTTGTTACTGATTTCGATCATTTGATCTTAATGAGTTGAAAACATTGCATGTATCGATCACTTAGTTGCAAATAATAATGGCAGTGATTACACAATAATAAGATATGAATGGACATATTTTCGAGAGCTTTGACTGCTTAACTGTGGATAAATTATCCGCTGTTTGGGTTTAGTAAAAGTATTGAGTTGATTAATGAGTAATTATAATCATTTTGGAAGAATACAGTGCTATTGTATTGTACTTACTAGCATTTCAAATACTTTACCCATAAGTGTGAATCACTGAATAATTTGGTTCAAAGTATTAGGTTGTTGAGGAAAAGTAGAAGTATCGAATGAATAATTATAATTCGTGAATAATTATAAATCCTTAATGATTTTACGTCTCGTCTCTCCCATTTTGTTGATGATATATGTTAAAATATAAATTTATTTATTTCAAGTAAAACATAATATTAACATTAAATGAATAAAACAAAAAAATGTAGTTATTCTCATCATACATTGTGGTAATATTAAAAGAGAATGCAGGAATGTACGGAAGGATACCGTATATTAAAATGCAACATATGAAAGATGATAGCAAATAATTTTTTTTAAAAAAGATCAGGACCTCGCCTTATTGATTGTTTATGGCGTGCTAAAATATCCGGACTTTGAGCGTGCGTCAATAGTGATCGCTTATGTTGTAAGCCAACATCTACCTGGAATAGCACTTTTTTTTCTTTGTTTTGATATATATTAATTGTCAAAGTGTTTTTACAATTTCCAACAGGTGAAATAATAAAACATTTATTTGCGTGTTTACACGGCTAAAAATTTTGAAACAATTTTGAAGGATTGAGAATATTTTTTGAAAACAAAATTATGCCAAACTTACATGAATTGTCTGATCATTATCCTCATCATCCGTTTCAACTTTATCCGGATGACGCAAGGTGCCATTATCACCTTTACTCAATAAAACGGATAGACGTGGACTGGAACCTTTCGGATGAATTGCAATAATCGGTGAACTTCCAGCCGAATTATCATTCAAATCAGGCGCTATTTGATAAGCATTCTCTGGTTTTAAACCAAGATCCTGAATTATTCCAATTAGAATACATTTCCAAATTAAGGCTTTTGAAAAGTTTTATTTTTAAATCATTTCTTGCATTTCTGCACAGGTTTTAATTAAAAACCCATAAAGATGGCTATTACCTACTATATATTATCGTTCGGTTTTCTCAATATACTAGTCTC